CTACATAAGCAAGCAAAGTACTGTAAACTGGTTTTGCTTGGATTTTATGGTGGAAACAGGAATACTTTGATGGAAGTCAGTGAATGTTACTAAGATAGCTAATCTAAGATGATGCCAAAGATGGAGACTTACAGAAAAAAACAATTGATAGAATTTCTCTCCGTGGTACACGAATATGATTATTCAGTCATTGAGCCCTTATTTTAACAAGGAAGTGAATGTTTCATAGCATTTCAGTTGATAAAAAGGTTTTAAAGTACAATGATAACCAACATTTCGTGGGTCACAAGGTGGTTTTAACATAACTGAGAAAAAGCAAAACCTGTGGAAGGAAGTTCCAGCAAATAGCTTTGTGTCCCGATGTGTAACTATAGACAAGCAGAAACGCTCAAGCATGAGCATTAACACACATGCACGCGCACACAACCCACAGGTGTCTTCCACCCAACAAGTAACTTTAAACGTTGTGACTCTTTGGATATCAGTTAATCATGCATGAACCTGTGGAAATTCTGACAAGTAGGAGCAGCACACACACACCCCAGGCCTGCTCTGTAAGAGAAGGTCCTCCATTTATCAAAAATGTTAGTGCAGGAGATCAGAGAGGTGAAGAAGAGCGATGGCTTGTAAAAGCAAATGGGTCAACTTCACAGAAGACTCCGAAAGGTGATCGGAGCATTAAAAAGTGAAGCTAAACCACATGTGAGGGAATTTGTCCACACAATACTTAATTACATTTCTCAATATTTTATAGATTAAAATAAAATTTGTCACAATAAAGACCTACTATGGTAGCTGTGGGAACAAAAAACATAAAAAATATGTATTTTTATGTTCTATCATATATCATCTCATTGTCAAAAACCAAATCCAACATCTCACCAATATGACCTCAGTTATTAGAGAAAGACCTTCAGTTTGGACTTTGGCTGCTTGATTTCTTATTTTCAATCCATTTATTGCAGAGTCCAGCACTTGTATTTGCTTGTGAAGCCGCTTAATGAAGATCCAACCCAAGAAAAGCACACTGAGTTAAGGAATGAATCATCCTTGTCTACTTACATACCAGACAAGCTAAGTAAAGAGCTATTCCAGATCAGTCTTTTAGCACTTTCTCATTAGCAGCATGTCACATATTCAACTTCTTTAAGTCCTATTCATGTGCAATGATTGGTGCTATTTTACCAAATAAGATGCACACATTTCACATTCTGTAGCATTTTCCCAACTTGTTTTGCCATTTCTAAAGATTTCTTTGTGGTAATAATATTTCAAAGGTACTTTAACGTTTGCCACTTTGTCTTTTCTCCTCTGTTTGTCCAAAAAGAAAAAAAAAATCCTTTAAGCACAAAGCCTGGTCTGAATATCAGTTCTAACTTGCAAGAAATTATAAGAAACTGTGTGGCTTCTTGGAAGCAAATCGTAAAGAAAAAAGGTGGTTAGAAGGTTTTTATGTAACATTCAATCAACAACAGATTAGAAGGAGAAAATTAGATTGATGTGTGAGTACACTGTTTAAACAGAGTAACCGTGTTTCTCTAATGAAATCAGATATTTACTTTATGTGTCAGTGCCTGACTGCAATAATCTCTACCAGAGAAAAGTTTCCACAAACTTGGCACACAGAATCAAAGTGGTCTGCAAGAAAGACGTCTTTGAGGAATATGTGTACAACCTCGCCATGGCCCAAAGATTTCTACGTATAATCATCTGCCATTCTAAGGCATTGCTCAAGAAAAGGATAGAAAATCCTGACTGGTGTGTTCTGGGAGACTGAAACAATAGTTTTATTTTACATATTTGGCTAAAAAAATGCTTTATTCTTAAGACAGGAGGGCATCCCAAGTCATTTGAGCAGCTTTGTATGTATTTAAACTGGCCTAGAAACACAAGACTTTTTTTGTTTTAAGACTTTGACACGAATAAAGAAATTAAAAAGCATTTATTTATTATTAATTTACATTTTTTTTGCTAGGAATCGTGCAGACCTTGGATCTTAGCCGTTTCTTTTTGGCTGTATGTTCCGAGCCAACTGTTAATCACAGTGTTCACTTTGTCGGAGCAACAGAGACCTCCAAAGCTGTATCCGAAGGTAAAGGCTCTGAATGAAGGATGCATTGAAATTGTTCTTCTTTTCTTCAGAGTCTCGCTGACATTAAGACCCTTTTCAAGATCATTAGATAATACACACAAGAACCCCAAGGTCACACACTGTGTGTGTGTGTGTGTGTGTGTGTGTGTGTGTGTGTGTGTGTGTGTGTGTGTGTGTGTGTGTGTGTGTGTGTGTGTGTGTGTGTGTGTGTGTGTGTGTGTGTGTGTGTGTGTGTGTGTGTGTGTGTGTGTGTGGTGGAGGGTGTCTTTCAACAAAACAACCCACCAACTCTTCACCATGCAATTCCTAGTATCTTGAGCTTGCCACCGTTATCTCTGCACTGGAAAAAAGGATTGGTCAAAAAAGTAGACTTTGTGTAATTTAATTCCAAAGTAAATTTCCCATGTAGTTGTATTACATAAAGTCAATGAAATACCCACTTTAAAGGTAACCTGTTCTAATGTTTATGTTTATTAGAACTGTGCTTAACTATTTTAATAAATAACAGTTTCAGTTTTATAATTGTTAGTTAAATCTTACATTAAAAAGTTATCTGGTGCATGCAGAGTTTCCTTCTTTTTCTTCTTCAGCCCAAATGAAGTACAAGTGACACACTGGGGATTTGCTGCCCCCCAGCAAATTCTTCAAAGGTCCTAAAAATGGGATTTGGTTACTAAACATGCTTGGTTTTAGCCTGGCCTGCCAGACTCGTCCCCTGTTTAACTCTACACAGAGAACTAGTCTGGTTACTCACAGGCAGAGAGGCACATGAGGGGCGGGACTAGCCAGCTCAAAAATAAACAATCAGAAAAAAGGCGGAAATACTGACTGCATCCCGCGATGCTATCGTTTTTCAGCTGTAGTCAAAAATGGCGTCTGGCGACAGCGGAAGCATCTTTTTCTTTTTTTCTTTTTAGAAAAAAGGCTTTTAGCGCTTCTACTTGTTGTGGTTTTGAAGTAACGTTTAAGTCATTTAGAACAGAGGAAGGAGCCGCAGCGAACTCAGCTTCAGATGTCATCTTCGGTGTTTATGGAAAACTCAGCGTTGCGTTGTGTGACGTACGCTGTTAATCGCCGACTGGCTCGGTTGGAATTCTCAGGTGGTGGGGTTATTTGAATAGAAGAGTTTCCAGCCCCATGCTTACCATAAGGAAGCATGGCTGGTCAGGCTAGCTTGGTTTAGGTTATAACTTGGCTGCATGGTGGCACAGTTGTTAGCACTGTTGCCTCGCAGCACGAAGGTTGCAGGTTCGAAACTCGGCTGTGGCCTTTCTGCGTGGAGTTGCGTGTTCTCCCCGTACATGCGTGGGTTTCCTCCGGGTACTCCGGTTTGCCCCACAGATCACAACATGCCCTATAGGTTATAAATTGTAAGTCGCTTTGGATAAAAGCATCTGCCAAATAAATAAACATAAACATAATCTTAGAATATTTGATCTTTCTTTTTTTTTCTGTTTTGGTAAAGAACAATTGTGATTTAGAAATCCGGAGTTAGCCTAAATCATATATGAAAGTATTAGCTTGTGTTTACTTAGGCCAATAATCTTTTTTTGAGTATCAAAGTTGCTCTTTAGAAAATAAATCTTTGCAAACCTTCAAATCCTTCCAAAATACACAAACTTGGTTGTGGCTCATGTCGCATCAGTATGACATCACCAAGGCCTCTTCCCATCCTTTGAGTCCTTAACATACACTAAAGATGTGGGATGTTTGCTTCGATTTTTTTTCTCCACTCTTATTTGTTGGCTAAGCACAGGCAAACATCAGGGAAATGCTCTGAATCAAGAAACTGCTTAATGATCAGGTGTCAGCGTGGAGCTGTTGCATTTGCACTTTTTTTCCCCAATGGAGGAGGGAAGCTCATTTCCTGAATGGAACTAGTCTCAAATTGATGCCAGGAAGAAAGTGGGATGAACGTGGGCAAGGAAACATTGAAGTTATGAAATGCAGAGGAGGATGAAACAAGACGAAGATGGGCGTATTGAAGTTTTCTTACTAACTAGTAATGATGTATCTGTAGCAGGACATGATAGAAATCCACACAGAAACAGAAAAAGAAAGGACCATAGAAGATTAGAGCCATGCACACTGGTATTGTTTGGAAAGATGCATGTGTCACCATGGTGACAGAGCAGTCAATCTGTGTGACAAAAAGACAGAATAAGCAGTGTATGGTGATCAGGTTGCATCAACTTTGTAAGAATTTTAAGAACTTTAAGTTCAAATCTGTTCAATTCCAACTAAAGCTCATGTTGTTCTTGCTCATACTTTTAGGTTTGGATGCTGCTTCTATTTCTGCACTTCACATCCTTTATTTCTCGCGCGCATCTTGTAATTACTGTCGTGTGCTGGTTTTTTAAACGCTTCTTGCACATGCAGCTCAATCTGTCAAATTAAAAGTCTCTCCCTGAAAGACAAGTCTTGTCAGCGATCAGTAAATCAGCAGAAACGCGATCCCACACGAGAGCTTCCAGCTCTTGGGGGAGGATGTGTCAGTGCGCCAGGACATGGTGGGTGAGGCCAGCTGGCTGCAGGTTCCAGGTGATCCCATCATGCATATTTGACCGTAAAGGCATCACCTTATCTCTAGATCTGTCTATTTGACACTGAGGAAGTTGTAAGTATGATGCGTAATATTGCGTGCTGCCCCTTTGTGGGCCACTTCTGCATCCGCGAATGGATCAATTCAAAACAAACCACCGATTACGCAACTGTGGTTGCGCATAAACCGACTTATTTTGCAAAACCTAACCGAGGAATACATTGGGGGGGGGGGGGGGGGGGGGGGGGTATGTGTTCCTGTTGTCTCGTTAGACTAATGCACCGTTATAAAGCCACGTTTCGCTTGTTTTACTAAACAGAACAGATGAAATGAGTGTGTTTGTTCAGAAAAGGGGCTCTGAGTTACCAGTTAGTGGAGGATCGAGGGTTGAGGATGTCCTCTTTGGCCGTGAGAAGCGATAGGCTGTAGGTGTCAAGGTTGACCGTTTGCCTGCTCATGGTGTCTGAGAGAAAAAAAAGGAAAAAAAAAGTTTCCAGACCACTCCCGCAGCTTCAGTCTTCACAAGTCCTTGTAAAGTTTGCAGGACGGAGGACTACCAGTGAAAAATCGGATTAGAAACGGAGGTCGGACTCAAAAAGCAGCACTTTAAGCAGGTTTGGCGTGGTTCGCAAACGAGAGTGATCCGTGCAGGCGCTGCGCACTCAGCGCCAGGAGACTTGGACTGCGCGCTCTGGTCTTTGTGCAGCTGGGTAGCATAAGTTTTCACTGCAAAGCCCCACCTCCTGTTGAGAGAGTGGAAAGCATAATGACTTCACTACACCGTCTAAGTCAATCAATCAGCAACGCCCTCTGATCTTAACACCTCCTGCGTGCTCTAATATTCACAGTCAGCTAGTTTCGTGTAGAAATCTGCAACCTCTGCGCACAAAATGAAGGGTTTTGTTGGTTCACCATTTAGCCAGCAAATAAAAAGCAACTTAAACAGTAAAGGTTCTTATTAATTCTGGTGCAATTTAAATATTTCCACTCAAATTAAAATGTTGCTTAGCGAGGCTGAAAGAGCTTTCATGTCGTTTCATTTTGGTTTTGGCAGTGCCTAATCTGTTTTTGTCTTTGATCTGACCCCCACTGGCTTTTGGCAGCCCCCAGAAAAGCCAGCAACTGCAAAAACTGCTACTGATCAAGTCCAAAAAGAGCCAATTTCATGGGAACCGAGAATGATAACTGAGGGTCTTTTCAGGCACTGGTGGTGACACACAGACTCACACCCCTCTCCTAAATATGCACACACACCCACACACTGTATGAAATCTGCTATTACCCCAGACTTGCATGCCAGTGGGTCACTAGCACAAGGGTTTAGGATTATTGGAATGTTCCTGAGCTCTTTAATTTACTTAGATGCCATTCTTAGATAATCCAGGACAGATGCCAAGGATCAAGGTCGTTTTTGTATAGTGAAGTGTCTGACTTTGGTTCACTTGTGTAAATTGTGTTCTTCACCAAAAATTTGACATGCCAGTTAGCACTTGATATGGAAACAATGGCTGACTAATCCTTTGAGAGATAAAAGAATGACACAGTCATCCATCCAGTCACACATCACGAGAGGAAAACTTCCTTTCAAGGCCAATATTTTCCATCTTTTTAAATTTTTTTGGGTATTCCAAGGACAAAAGGAAAAGATGGCAGGTCAATAAACTGCTGAGCTGTGGTGGCCTCATGGAGGGGGCCATCGACTAGCACACTGCTGCTAACCACTAATACATTCTCTCTGTGTGTGTGTGTGTGTGTGTGTGTGTGTGTGTGTGTGTGTGTGTGTGTGTGTGTGTGTGTGTGTGTGTGTGTGTGTGTGTGTGTGTGTGTGTATGTGTGTGTGTGTGTGTGTGTTTGTCTGCCTGCTCTGTCTTCTCGATCCCCAGTGAGTCGTGGAGGATGACTGCTTATACTGAGCCAGGATTCTCTGGAGGTTTCTTCCTGTTAAAAGGGAGTTTTCCTCTCCACTGTCGCTGCATGCTTGCTTAGTATGAGGATTGCTGTATAGTCACTGACACTAGTCAGTGACTTGATGCAATTTCCTGGGTTCCTTATATAGGAAACATTATTTCTGATTGGCTTAATGAACTGTGAATTGGAATGTTTATTATGTGAAGTGCCTTGAGACGACTCTTGTCGTGATTTGGCGCTATATAAATAAACTTGAATTGAAAAAAATTGAATTGAATAAAGCAAAGCCAAACTACTATTACAAAGGGTTAGTAGTGATCAGAATAATTATTACTGATTTACATATGGTAACAGTTCATGCATGGCATTTCCTCTCAAATGTTGAATCTCTAACGCTCTGCTGTTTTGACTGGAGTTTGCATACCACCAGGATACGGAGCTTAACATCTTACATACCTCTATTATTCTTACAACTTCCTGCTAATTAAGACTCTCCTGCCTTTTCCAGCTCTTAACTGTGGATGTGAAAAACGGCAAAGCAGTTATGGTCCACTTCAGAGGACTTTGGCAGTTCCTCTGCAGGGGTGCGGTGGCAGCAGCTGTTGTTGAGGATGGGGCTGAAATGTTGGAGTTTTTAGTGATGTCCAGTGGGGATTTGCGTGTGTGTGTGTGTGTGTGTGTGTGTGTGTGTGTGTGTGTGTGTGTGTGTGTGTGTGTGTGTGTGTGTGTGTGTGTGTGTGTGTGTGTGTGTGTGTGTGTGTGCACAGGCATGTGGGCTAATGGGGATTTTCTCCTCATTTACTGAATTCTCTTCTCCAATTGTCTGAGAGGCTGCTGAGCTTCCTGCCTTCCTGGAGCAGCCTAAACAAATGGTTTAAGTGTGGGTGACAGGGTGCTGAGTGGTACAGTTAAACAAAACATCTTCCAGGAGTTCCCTTCACTCCTCAGCTCTTTTCCTTCAAGAAAACCAGTGATTGCTAATGCACTTAATTTGTTCCTGTCACTAAACATCCCTTCTTTTTGGATGTTTCCATTTTCTTTTTTGTTTTACTTTTCTGGAGGCCTCAAGGTTCTTGTGGCGTACTTTGCTCAGTTCTGATGGGTGGTGTTAAAAGGTCAGAGATGTGTTTGGAGTGCATGGGTTTTACCTTGAGCCCTTCACTGTTTTCATAAGCATCCGGCTGAACACTTTTATGCAAGTGAAGTCTTATCTGGTTAGTTTGGAGGTGGTCAAAAGGTAGATCAGAGTAAAGCATTTTAATACCAATTCTCGACCTGTGGAAAGAACCTGACTGGGGTTAATTTTTTTCTGACAAAACACTTAAATACGTCAGCAGTATTTAGGAATAAACCGTTGGCCAGAATTCAGACTGTAAGGGAACAAAGTGGACCTGAACCCGAGTGAGTTGTTGAAGGAGCAGCTTTACTGTGTGTGGATCAATTTTTCACCAAGCCGATCAATATTGGTGTGAAACCCTAAAATGTTGACATCAACAACACCTGTGGTCTGACAGGTTGTAACTGCTGCGTCTGAAGAGAACTTTCATCTTTTGTAATAAAATCCTGATTTATGACTCTGATAATGTCTGCATGTCCTGTTAGTTTGTGATTCTTCCTATTCAGACTCGTTTCATGACGGAGAAGAAGGTTTCCAACTGATCTCAACTGTTTGAGCAGTGCACACATTTTTGTTCTTGCTGTGATTTTAGCAAGACTAAATTCAAACGTGTTTCAAATCGTTTTACCAGTAATGTGGGAAAGATTTGTGTTTTAGATGTTTTTGTTTTACAGCTGTTGCAAAATTACAAATGAATAATTCAAGAGTTTCACTTTCTTTCTAAAACCTAGTTCCTGTTTCATCACAAAAGAGCCAAGACTTTTGGATCAGAGTATTTAGTCCTGCCATGCTCATGTTTAGTTCAGTGGAAGTTTGAGACAAGCGTTGATGATGAGGTAGATGCAGGGACACTGGCAACTTACTCACATTTATCCATCAAGGCTAACTCGTGCAGCTATCCGCAGCTGAGGGTGAATAACACAATAAAAATCTCTTAAAATCAGATTTGGAGCCAGACAGGCCGGAAAAAGGAAGGAAATATCAGAGGTGAAAAGCAGGGCTGGAAACAAAAGAGGACATAAAGTTAAATAGAAAGACAGGGTGCAGGAAAGTCAGACTTTTCTCTGTTTTTTTGTTTTGGTCTGCGAGACAGACAGATGAAGAGAGATATCTTAACATGCTCCGTGAATCTGGGTGTCTTCTCGTCTGGCTTCCAGGTGAGGTCACTGCTCAGCTATGTGCCTTCACAACAGTCTTGAGATATCACTCCCTCGAGCTGCAGTGCACACACGCATGCACACACTTACACACTCACTTACTCTGTACAGTTTGAGTTCACATTTTCTTCCCTGTACAAACATGATACAAACATGATCATTTGTGATTAGCCTTTTGAACTTTAAACGTAATCATTTGCCTTCCCGGGATGAAATGGCACCATGGTGTTATGTTTGTCTTTAGTTTTGGAGGACTTAGATTTGTGCAAGAGAAGAACAGCAGCAGCAAACTCTAAGGGGTTACAGGACCAACATCATTACCTTTCAAGAGGCTTGGATATAAAAAGGAAAGTTCTGTCCATGAATCAGTTCACCTGAATATGCCTGTAGCGTGTGTCAAAGCTCTCTATCACTTGTTATTTCAATACATTTTTTGTCGTCTCTAGTATAAATGGACACCTTGTAAGTCGTAGAAAAAAAGCTGTGGCACTCCTGTTTCAGGAAGTTAGCCGGAGGAAGGGAGCAAAAAATGGCAGGATTTGGAGTTCTACTCATTATTATTTGTGATATTTGGAGATTTCACCTCTGATTGGTTAACAGCAACATGACACTACCACTGCCTCAATTCGTTTTGCCACTTCGATGTTTTATCGTTACACATCCTGAAGGAGGTCTGCAGTGTTGTAGCATTACTAGCCTAATGCTAGTGGTTAGCTTCTACTAGCTGAGAGGTGCTCTGCTCTCTCCTGGATGCTAAATCAACAACTGCCTTCCCCGTCGCGAGCCAAGATGGGCGAGTCCACGATTGCTAATGTTCTGTGTGACGTAGATCTGTGTTGCTTTTCTGACACAAGTGTTTCTTCTTTCATTGTCTTTCAGCAGCTAATGCAGGAAGAAAATAAGGTTAACAGATTATTGTTACATCCAATCTACATGTGAAACTTAAAGTTACCAAAAATATAAAAAAAAACAAGTAAAAATAGTTTCTCTGTTATTTGCACAAGCTCGTTTGTGTTCACCCATAAAACCTTTACAAATGTAGCCGTATCTTTGCTTTTACACGCTTAATGGCCTCTGAAATGCTCTGTTTTAGTTATGATTGAGTCATGCACATCTGTCTCTCTTCTTGATGATTTAAATCTGCCCCTCTTTCCTCCGTCATCATCTCAGGGACAAATATATCTGTTGATTGACCAAAAATCCCTCAACATATTGAGAGCTCTCTACTGTACAAGTGTCTGTTTTTCTCTCAATTAAACTCCTCTTATCTGCTCCCAAGAGAGCCAAAGGAAATGACATCCAGATGTGGTGATGTCAGCTCTTCTCTGGGACTCTGAAGTTGTGCTCTACAAAGCTGGGTGCAACAGCAGGGATAGGGATTGTGGGAAATTTGAACACAGCCAACGTCTGAAGCGAGTGATGCAGAACGGAGGTCTGTAATCAGTGTTAACCCGATGCTGGTGACTGTGAGGTTTTTGCTATGAAAACGTGTCTAATCCCTCCATAAACTGGAGAATCAAAGGAAATCTGATTTACGTCAGCGCC